TTTTGGAGCTTCATCTTGCTCATTAACCTCTTATTTTCCCTTTTAATCTTACTATTATACATGCTTATTCATGTATATTTGTGAATGTGTTCCTGAGTATACACATGTGCATGTGAATGCGTGTGGATGCTATTGCTCGATATCAGGTATCTTCTTCTGTCCCTCTCCATCCTATCTCTAGAGAGAGATTTTCCAGTGAACCTAGCACTCATTGATTCAGGTTGACTCGATGACCAGTTAGTTCTAGGAATCTGCCTGTCTCTGTATCCCTAGCATGTTGGGAGGAGAGGTGACAAACAGCTGTACTCACCCTATTACATGGGTGTTTAGAATCTGAATTTAAGTCAACATGCTTGTGTGGGAAGCGTTTTAGTAATGGAGAAATCTTTCCAACCCCACAATCACATATTTTTTGTAGCTGACTTCTGCTGTTATGGTTATCTATGATTGATAACAAAAACTATTGAATTATAAAAATAGTATGAAAATCTTATTTGCTTTTTCTGTCATATCAGATACCAATGTAGTCCAAAAACATTGAGTTAGATTATGTTTGTTTCTCTCTCCTTCAATATTACTGATGATTTTGTAAGACCTTTATCTTTCAACTCTACTTACAATTCTCTATTTCATTGAAGAGATGTTGTCATGCTGTAGTATAGTAGAGTATGTGTGGTGACTTCATAGTTCACAGTCTGAAATGTATACATGACACTTTTTTTCTTGCTAATATGAATCTTTCTTTCTTTCTTTTTTGATTTTAATTTTTATTAATTTATTTATTTACACTCCAGTCATTTCTTGAAAGTGAAAAAAGAAAAAAACATCAAAGCTGAAATTAATGAGATGAAGGCAAAGGAAGCAGTACCAGAACCAGAGAATGTATGATTTAATTCTTGGTTAAATAATAAAGGTCAAGAATCTGATCGACTCAGTAACAGAAAAGAAAGAATGTAACAAACCAAATTCACAAAATTGGAAACGATTAGGAAATATAAAAACAGAACCAAAGCGTGTCCAGAATAGTAGCTGGGAATATTTTAAAAACATGCACACTATTGTTTCAACTATTTAAAAAAAAATGGATGAATTTTAGATGCATCCACTCCAGCAATGTTAAATGATAAAGACATAAAAATCATAAACAGCCTCATAAAAAATGTGATTGAAAGAGTAATAAAAAGCCTTCATACTAAAAGCCCAGGACCAGACAGACTCACAGTATCTTTAACAGATCCCCTAGGACTGGTGTTACAGAGACTTGTGAGCTGCTACGTAGATACTAGAAATAGATCCCAGGTTCTCTGGAGGAGCAGCCAATGCTTTTAACCACTGAACCACCTCTCTGGTACTGAAAATATTTTAATGTAAACAAAGAAAAAATTTTGCAAATCTAGGAGAAAATAAACATGCATCACACCACAGACAGGGGCAGAGTCGAATCTCCCCATTTACGTTAAAATATTTAATTTACAAAACAAAATATACTGAAAGATGGTAAAGAGAAGTTGTAATCAACTGTTGACATTTCATTCCAAACTATGAAAGCAAGAATCACTGCTGACTTTCAGTCCTAATCGTCAAAGAAAAAGGTGTTTGGAGTAATGCGTTTCAAATTCTGAGCAATCATGTTGCCTAGCCTATCTAATAAGCAGAACTAGTTGTCATAATTATTGTGAGAGAAAGTATTTCCATGATAAAATCAGTCCCATGGAATTCATGACCACCAAGCCAGTATCACAGAGGACAGAGTAAGGAACATTTAAATGAAGAGAGAAAGATAAGCACACTCAAATGACTACAGGAACAACAAAAACTTATTAAAGAAAAGAAGACTAAGACGCTTCCAAAGCTTTAAAAACGTAACAAAATGACAGAAGCCATACATATTTTTCAGTTATAAATCTGAATATCTTTTCTCAGTTCATCCATCAGAAAATATGAACTAGGATTCATTGTCTCAAAGTCAAGAAAAAAAAAGAATGAAGAAACAAATGAATGAATGAACAAACTAAGAGAAAGGAACAAAGGAAAGAAAACCAACAGAAAAAGACAAACAAGCAAACAATAAAAGCAAACCCCTTATGACCAATGATGAACATTATTGTAGAGTAAAATAATTGAAAATATATTTCAATTAAATGGTACCAATTCTTCTGTGTTTGTTTTTGTTTTATATAACGACATCATATTATGTTTATTACTACTATTGTAAAAATATCTTTCTACCAAAATATTGTACATATACTCTGCAAACTTCATCAAAATGTCAATACAATTTTGCACAGAAATATAAATCAATCTTAAAATTAGTGAGACAAAGATTTAAGTGGAAAGGGAATTGGTAGGGTAGGAAATAGGAAGAATGGGTTGGGTATCTAAATGTAAAGGCCTTATTGTTTTGTTAATATGTTTCCACAGGCTTTCTTACTTTATCATCTATCTCATTCTTTCTTTCTTTCCTTCCTTCCTTTTTCCATCTGTCATGCATCAGTCTATTTATCTATGTATCTATCTATACATTTATCTATCATTTATCTATTTATTGTCTATCTACCTACCTATCTATATTCATATTAGATTTTAACTGAGGTTACCCTGCATAGGGTATTATGCTCCTCCAAGAAGCTATAGATTTCCACATAAAAATCTGTGTCCTCTGGGAGATACACGCACACTCAATCAAAGAAAACACACACACACACACACACACACAGTGAGAGAGAGAGAGAGAGAGAGAGAGAGAGAGAGACAGAGACAGAGACAGAGACAGAGAGAGGGAGAGAGAGAGAGACAGAGAAAGACAGAGAGAGACAGAGAGAAGGATTTTGCAAAGTGATTAAATAGGTTCATCCCAGAGGTTCAGTGATATGGAAGCATATAAAATTTAATAAATTTAATCTTCCACATAAACAAACTAAAAGGCAAAATCCTTGTGATAATCTCATTAGATACAGAAAAGGCCTTTAACAACATCCATCAGTCCTTCACAATAAAAACTCTTGGAGAGACCAAGGACACAAGAAAGATATGTCAACGTTACAAAGGTAACGTAAAACAAATCTGCAGCTAATATCAGCATAAATAGGGAAAAACTCAAAGCAATTCCGCTGAAGTCAGGAACAAAAGAATGATGTCTACTCTCTCCATACTTACTCAACATAGGACTTGAACCCTTAGCTAGTACAGTAAGACAACTGAAGGTGATTGGTGTGATTTAAATAAGAAAGAACAGAGTCAAATTTTCAACACTTGCCGATGATAAGATTCTATCTAAGAATTCAAAAAAAAGGAAATTGGAAATTCTGTATCAAATAAACACTTTTAGCATCATAGTAGGTACAAAATCAACACACATGCCAAAAAAACCAAAACAACCAAACAAAAAAGGAACAAACAAAAAATGTAGCTTTTGTATGTACAAATGACAAACAGAACGAGAAAAAAAATCAGTGAAAAAATAGTATATCACCTTTCACAATAGTATAAAAACACAAACCTAATTCTAAGAAAGCAAATCATTAAAACTTCAATTGCTTCCCATGTTCCATTTTCCCATGGTACTTTCCATCTTTGTGTCCTTTCAAACAGACACATGAATGCTCTGTACTATTTTCTAATAGCTTCTTACCCTTTGAATTCACCTGATGACTACAAATTCAGCTCTCTACTGAATCCCTCCAAATATTGATTTAGAAGATCTCAATTGGTTGTTTTTGGTAGGCGAAAATTGTATTCTCTTGGATTTCTATATTATTACTAGAAACAAAATGTCCAGTGCTTTTGTTGTTTGCACAGCTTTATTTCTCCTTCTGCCTTTAGGTTATGAAGAGTCTAGTATCAGGGAGAAGAAGGATTCTTACCTTCCCACGTGTTTTATCCTTAGGAACCCTACTTCATTTATGCTTATTAATATAATGAAACAATGAGAGGATATTCATGCCAAGTATGAGCAAATAGTAAACTAGACATTTACTGTTATTCATTTAGCATCAGGAAAAATCAAGTCTCTTAATGTAAGAAAGGATAATATTCTTTCAATGCATACTAATTATTTTATACATTTAGTTAGTTGTTTTTTTCTGGTGTATCATATTGACAAATCGAGTGGCAAAATTATTCTAAGCTTCATGAGTTTTGGCAACATGTCAACGTCTTAAGAGAGCAGATAGGTTTATCGGGAAAGGAAAGATACCTTGGGGTTATACATGAATCAGGTTCATCCTTAGAAGGAAGCTGATCTGAAATTGAATTTTTATGTAAAACATGTTTCATATATCCCCAGGAATGTTAGTGTTTCTCTGCAGCCCCTGCCTTCATTTATAGTAAAATATATACCTGCCTTCTTTCATTTATAGTAGAACATACGCCTGCTTTCCTGCTCTTGGCTGGGGATGAATTTTCAGTACAATGCTTTCTCAGTGTAAGCTTTACATTCAAGGCCATTGCTTGGCATCTTTTACTCTGATTCTTGCTTGTTCTTCAATCTCTTCCATCACAGAGGACAGGAAGAAATCATTTCATAATTCCTGACATTTACTTACTTACTTATTACTATACAACTTTAATGAATTTCTATCAAGTGAGATTATCCAGCTGTAGAGACACCACACTGAAGAAAGCCTCACGATACTGATGGTTAGTTCCTTAGTTCTTTGCTTACATGTTTATTTTTCCAATTCTTTTACAAATATTTTTATTATTTATTCGACGTTTTGTTCAACAATGTTTGATCATGTTCATGTCCTCTTTCATCTTCTCCCTCTCCCTCTTTCTCTTCTTCCTTCCTTCCTTCTCTATGACCCAGAGAAGATGGAATCCAGGCTTGGAACTATTGCAGCATCACTCAACAGGTTTGTAGGGACGTTGGCTCCCTACACTGGAAATAACGTTCTCTATAGAGGTTCCAGTGGCAGTGACAACAGTACTCACTGGGCCCAAGGAGTACACAGGTGTCTCAAACACATCTCCAGTATCCTTGCAGCTGCGCTGGATATGTCATGGCCCGGAACAAGAAAAAACGAAAAGCAGTGAAGCAGGCTCAGGTGGCTGAGAAGGATGAACACCAGAGACCTGAGGAATCCAGAAAAATAGAAACATACCTGGTAACACTTCCAAGTGCCGTGAAGAAGTTTGTGAATATCTCAGATATGAAAAACTCAGATCCAAGTTACAATGATTCCTCAGAGGGGCCATTTGGTTTGGGCTCTGTTGTTTTCCCTTGTTTACAGCGTTTCAACAACATTGAGGTCTTCCTCTTTCTGTGCTTTTTAGCAATCTTTGTTCATGGTAAGTTGGAGGAGCAGGGTTGCTCAGGCGAGAGGATTCACTGTGGTAGACATGAAGCTGAGACACTGTGGGAAGGAGCAGATGGATGAAATCTGACTTGTTTTCCAAACATGAGTGAAAATCAGTTAACCCAATGCACCGCCATTGCCTTTAGTCTTAGGCTCCCTGCTTGACAGGGTGCCGTTCCACACAGTGGGTAAAAGCTTCAGAGCAGATGAGAAGGTAGTGTTGAGTTAGTACACGTTATTTAATGATCAACTTAAACTCGGGTTGAATGCTTGGAAGACTAAGATATAATTGAAAACAGCATCACCTTCACGATTTCTGCTCACAATTTGAGACACTCTCGACAAACAAGGTTTCAACTTGGAGTCTGATTAGTCATCTTTGAATTGAGGGGTGCTGAGACTTCAAGTGATTCAGATCACAGGAAGAAACACCTGAGTGCCGTTATACACATGTTGTTTTCTCCTTCCTCTTGCTTCTTCCTTCTCTTTCTGTTCTATTATTTTAGTTATATACTTTTACTAATAAGTTTTGTAATAGCATGGAAACTACATTTGCCCACTGGTTTCCTGCCGGCTCTCACACTTAGCTATTGTCATTGAGAGGCTGAGGCAGTAAGTACCAAAAGCGTAGGCAGAATCTTCTGTGGTTTTTTGATTTAGGTGGTAATTTTGGCAGGAGCAACACTTTGAGTGATCGAGATTCTTGGAGGTAAAGTAGGGGAAAGATATTCCATCAGCAACAATCCTGAATGTTTCACCTGCGCTGTGCTCTTGTGCCCGGCCTTGGGGCTGTAGACCAGCAGAGGATCAGAGCTTTAGGAGCTTTAGGAAGAGTCCATGGATTCCTGGATCCTTGCAATACAAGGAGTGTTTGAGGAAACTGTGTAGCAGCAGAGATTGCTGCTTCAGCAATGACATGTGACCCTGCACTTTGCACACACACCATGAGTTTTAATTTGAAACCATTCTGTTCACTCCAAGAAATTGAATCTTTATGCAGCTATTCCTTATATCACATCATATTTCCCCTTAGTACGATTGTTTTCTTTTTTTACACATTGGATGGTGATTATACACAGATAATGCTACATCTATTTATTTCATGGTCTTTAGAATAATTTATTTGAATGTATACATTGTACATTGGGCCTTTTTTTTAAATTTTAAGAGTGAAAATGCTCTAAAATGTTGAACTTTCAGCACAGAATCTTAGATCTGGAACAAGGTTATACTTTGAAATCCAAGCTGGGTTTCAAATGTCTTTATAATTTAATTTTAAAAGGAGGTAAACATCCATTATTTATTAATTCCTCAGAATTGGAACATGATATACATCTAATATAGTGATTAGGTGATTCAAATGTAATTGATCTCTAAAAGACTAGGGCCACGTTAAAAAGCTTCTCATATTCATGTAAAAAATATTTCATGGAAATCAATAGATTTATTTTTATTTATAGGTTTTACGCTTTGATCATATTTTGAAATAAATTTTAACAGTATAAATAAAATTTTTCTTAGCATTATTATAATGGCGGTCTGTATTGTCTTTTAAAATGTAGTATATTGACTTTTGTCTTTCTTTGTCTTTCTAGGTATAATGTTTGCTCTTGTTGATGTGTCTTTAAAATTATTTGTGTCTCGATTTTTGCCATCAGACACAGAGATATTCCTACTGGATTTTAGTGATTATTTTGCTTCTTTCCTGGTAGCAATGCTTGTAGCAGTTTTTGGAAGTAGAGGAAATAGGGCAAAATGGGTGGCAGCTGCCTGTTTTGTAACAGGACTTTCAGCAATTGTTTTTGCTGTTATTTACTTTAATTATGAAATTATAAAAGTGAGCACAGTAGAATCAGGTAAGATTTTTTCTAACATACTTTCATATATTACCAATATATATTTAACTCTTTGGTTCAAGAAACTGAAAATAGTTTATGATGTATATCTGTGAATTCTTTCTTCTGTATATGTTTGTGTAACCATGCTTAATATCTGTAGTGCTCTGATTTTTCTCTGGAAAGAGATGAATCTAGGAAGAAACATTGTGGGATAATTTATAAAATTATTTCTTTAATACAATTTTAAGGGGGCTGGAGAGATGGCTCAGAGGTTAAGAGCACTGTCTGCTCTTCCAGAGGTCCTGAGTTCAATTCCCAGCAACCACATGGTGGCTCACAGCCATCTGTAATAGGATTTGATGCCCTCTTCTCTTCTGGTGTGTCTGACGACAGCAACAGTGTATTCATAAAATAAATAAATCTTTAAAAAAAATACAATTTTAAGCATAATACAAATCTCTAGAGAACTCTGGCAACTCATTTTATTTTGTACAAGATTCTTTAATTATTCTGTTTAATTTATTTATAGCACAGACACATATAAGTTCAAATACAGGAATTAGACTACACAGAAATAGTGGTGACTAAATAGTTAATCCTATTCAAAAACTGCATGCTACTCTTTGACTACCATTTGAATCTACAAAGATAGTGGCTTTGTGACATTGTTCAGTGTTGATTCCACAATCTTTGCTATTTCTAGTAAATAAGATCTACTTGAAATATCCTGGTAGTATAATTCTAACACTATTGTCTCAGATCATTCCTTATCACCTACAGGCTTTTATTGACATGTTAAGCTGGGTTTTAAGAAGAAATGATGCATAAGGGATGTGTATCCATGTGCACATATATATTAATGTTTTTGAAGTTTACAATGTTTATTAAATTTATACAATATTAGATTTAAAAGTAGTTAATATAAAACACAGCTATTTTAATATAAAAATAGTTACATACTATGTAATGCATACAAATATAAGATGTGTATATTATACATGTTTTAAAATGTCATTTATATTTATAGAACTGATATTTACTTCAATGAGAAGATGACTAGTGAAAAGAAGATAGTGAAAAGCATTTCCTTACTTTGTTCTCTTAACAGTATTCTGGTCAGAAATGGGAGAATCTTCAAGAACTTGTCATAATCAACATTAAAATTCTAGTCAGTAACTAAGAAATTTACTACCCTTGCAGAGGACCTGAGTTTGGTTTCAAGCATAGACATTATTCAGCCAGAAAACACAAGTAACTATACCTCATGGGGACTATTATTCTGGTCTCTGATGTTATTGGCTTACACACACACACACACACACACACACACACAAACACTCACACACATGCTGAGAGAGAGAGAGAGAGAGAGAGAGAGAGAGAGAGAGAGAGACATAGAGGGAAGGGGAGGGACAGGGAGAGGGAGGAGTAGGAAGAAATTCTCCATTTGTTCATGTGCACATCTTCCATTATTGCTATGTCTTTTAAATTTTTTCCTGCTTTTTTTTGTGATTTCATGATTAGACACTAGGTTCATTCTTCAGTATGTGTTCTCTGAACCTCTTTGGTATAGTTCATAGCTTTCTGCTTACTATTTGTTATCTGTTCTATGTTTGCATCTCTTATCTACAATGACAGATTCATGTTCAACACTCATGTAGAATGTGTGACTCAACAAACAAGTAGACATCATACTTCTCAATATCTTGAACAATTCAGCACAAATTTTCTCTCTAAAGTCATATATATTCATTCTACATTGTCACCTTTGTTTTCTAGAACTTTATATAAATTGACCATGCACATGTCCATCTTAGTAGGTGTACCGAGTTCAGGTTTTTGATGATACCTACCAGCGATTTGTACTTAATTAGAATGAAGGCAAACCTCTTTTCTCTTATTTGGACTAGTGGTATTAGGAATCATGAATACCAACTTTCCCTGATTCTCCTAGTTGCTACTTCCCTTCATTTGCAGCTAGTTTTCTATCTTCCAACATGACATATTAAAATCTTTCATATCTCTTTTAGTGAGTGCTCTCAGCTATTTTATCTCATTCTCCTTTTATCTCCTGCTTGGAAACTTTGGGAATGAATCATGCACCTACTCCTTTCACTATACCAGGTGACTCTTGAGTCCTGTGATGAATCTGCTGCTGCCAATTGGAAGTGCTTGTTTCTTCACAAATGGATCTATTCATGTGAAAGTTATCATAGTCCAAATCTATTGTAACCTTCCAAAAAATTAGGTTTTTGTTTTGTTTGTTCCTTGCTGTTTTGTTTTGTTTGGAGATGGTAGTGGTTTTGCTTTTACTAAATTCCTACGCTGTCCTATGCAGGATGAAAAATATGAGCACGTAGGAAAATTGCCTTACTTTCTTAACGTTGAAGTTTTACATTAGTCTACACTTGAATGTCAGTATTCATCCATTTTTCCCTCCAGTGAAAATGAAGGAAACGTCCACTAGTGATCATTCTATGTGCTCCCACTTCTTTCCTCCCATTTGTCATCCCCTTCTACTGTCTGCCTCTTAGCTATCAGTTCTCACTAGTGATTAAATGTAATCATATTAACTTATTCTGTATTTTAAACTTGACTATGTGTTCTTTGTTTTTCAGTTTTGCATGATTACACTTTCTCCTTCCATTTCCAAATCCCTACTATGTCTTGTCTTTATGAGCCATCATATATTGTTCCCTCCGTCAAATCCTGTGTATTTCCAGTTTGCCACTCTCAAATTAATGTATTCTTTGAATTTATAATGGCCACATTGTAATTAAGAGAGAGGAGGTGTTATATGCCATAAAATTTAAATACTTTGAGTGTTCTGCATATATGTATACATGCACTACATGTGCATGCTGATGCCTGGTTGTCAGATTCTCTTGAGCTGGAAATGCAGATGGGTTTCAGCTGCCATTTAGCTGCTGGAAGCAGAATCCTCGTACTTTGGAAGAACACCCAGATCTCTGAATTGCTGATGACCTCTCCAAGTCCTTCTCACTCTTTTTTTATCACCTATTAAAATCTTGTTTTCATACAAGAGTGTATGAAAGACAACTTCTTGATTTTCTATATATTTCTTTGGCCAACTTCAATTAAAATTGTATAACAGAATAATTGTGTCAAGTCATTAACATAGCTCATGATATTTACTATAATTAAACTTTATATGTTTTAAAATTAGACCTTTAATCCAAATTTTTAGCATTGACTACACTCCACTTCTTGATAGTTTCTTTTTGGAGATTTCTATGTATGCTTCTTAGATGTTAAATAATTTATAATCTTCAATTTCCTTAGTGGAGAATTATTTTTTATTGTTAAGACTCAAATAGATTAGCCAGTGGAAAGCTCAGAAATGTGATCCTTAAGAGTAGATAGACTAGTAAGTTCAAGTTTCTAAAACAAGGCAGAAATGAATGGACTCAGGAGGTGTTTTACGACTGTCATGGGCCTGAAGGACTTTCTTGAGTCTGTTTAACATGGAGTCAAATTGGCTTTTGAATGTCACATGTTTTCATCAGCTCAAAAGTATAGCTAGAGATCCTTGAAAAATCAAAATTTAAGTAAAGTTGTAACTTTACTGAGGTTTTGCATGTTGCAAAAAAAGGAAAATTTTAAAGAAGCATCAATAATAATTACAGAAGAAACATATACATGGCCACTGTGATAGTTAACAGGAGCATTCCAACAGGAGTTTTAAAAGATTATTTGTTTCACATACTAAAAGACATTGTCCAGAAAGATTAGAAGAACAAGAATTAAGAAAGTATGACTGATATAGGCTCAGCCATAAATGGGTTCTGCAAGAACCACAGAACACTGGAGAAAAGGCAGAAGAAGGAAAGGGCTTGATAAAGTAGAGGATGTGAGAAGTCATTTGAAACATTGAACTTCAGCATGAAGAGTCTTCAACTCATGGAAGCAGGAACTGTGTCTACACATCAGTTACCCAAGACAGCATCTGTGAACAACATATCATGGAGAGAAAATTAGCTCACTATGCATTCCTTTCGATGTATATGTAGTTAGGTGTTTCTCTGAGAGAGGGGGTGGGAAGGGAGAGAGAGAGAGAGAGATAGATAGATAGAGAGAGAGAGAGAGAGAGAGAGAGAGAGAGAGAGGCAGAGAGACAGAGGGAGGGAGAGAAAGAAAGAATAAATAGAGTCACTGACAAGGTGAGCATGTTCCACAATCCTACAAGTAATGTCTTCCAGAAAACAATTCTATGCAGCTTATGTAGTCATTAAAAAAATAAGACTGAATGTAGAAAAGGGATCCAATTGCAAAGTGGGAGTCTGAAGCAGAAAGAATAGTAAAGATATGAGATCAAATGGAGTATATTGCATAAATGTATGAGAATGTCTTAATAAATATCCATTGAACACAGAATGTATTTAAAAAACAAAGGAGTTGTATGAGGAGTTAAATCATATTTTTTTTCGGCATCTTCTCACTTTCCACTGAGTTATGTATTGCTCCACAGAAACTACACCAAATACCATTTCAATAAGATATACTTTGTACTTTTACTTTATTAGTTTCTACAATAACATTTTATAATCATGTGTCAAATTTCACCCAAGGTCATCATAATAGTTATGGTTTACTATTATGTGCTTAGTTCTGACAATCAACTAAAAAGTATAGATACTAAAACTCTATACCTTTGTAAGAACATTAAGAAATAACCTGTAATCTAAATGATTTTGAAACAAAATGTGTAGTTGACCGCAGAGTAATTTAAAGATTTTAAAAAAAGGATCATAGAATTATATTCAGATGGTGGATTATCCAGGGCATTGCAAGTGCGTTTATTCTGGAGACAAATGTCAGAAGAACAAGATGCAAAGAATTAGAAAGTGAGTGCAATATAGATTATACATGTAAAAATGTGTATGTATATAAGAATATCTATGTACATGTAATCTTGTGGATATAAATAACTATACCATTTCATAATCTGTATATCATTTCCAGTATTTCCACCCAATTTCTTATAATGTGCTATTTCTATTTAGAACATAATGAGAAATTGATTATATGACTATACTCAATCTAACAAGAAAAGCATGGTGCTGGTAGCAACAGAAAATTAAATGTACATTTAATTTTGAACTCAATTCAGTAAAATATATTTCTTATCTTTCAGAGGATTTGTGTGAGGAAGGAAAAACTCCAAAAGTTTGTGGGGTAACTGTAATACCACACAAATCAATATGTATCTTTCTCTTCATCTTCGGGCAGTTTCTCCATGGATTAGCAGGGATGCCACTTTTTATACTTGGCACAACCTTCATATATGACCATGCTCCCACATTCACAAATGGAATATATATAGGCAAGTTTTTTTTTAATGTATCACATTTCTTTGTAGTTTAACTGATATGTAAGTACTGTTGGCCAGGTAGTGACACTGTACTAATGAGTGATGACTTGGTTTCATAATTTTAAAATCACATTGAAACATCTAATTATGAGATTTGGAACTGTAGTTAAATCATCTAAATGTTATTGAAAATTGTACAGGAATAAAAAGTATGTGAATGTTTTAAGTGGCAAGGTTTTCTCTATGTCTCTGTTTATCTTTCCCTGAGATAGTGGGGAGGGAAATGGAGGGCTAGGGAGAGGGTAAAGACGGGTACAGGGGTGGAGGAGAGAAGTAGATGGCTACACAAAGTATCATCCCTTCATTTTATATTGTCTTATGTAAACTGCATTTAAAAAGCCTTAATTCAATCTCAAATAATATATCCGTTAACCAGTAACAGATTCTGATCCTGAAAGGCAAGAATGAAGAATTATATTTACAGACATGTTAGGTATCATTTTTTCTTTTTTTTATAATCATTTTATTTGTTTACATTTCAAATGATATCTGCTTTCTGGTTACCCCTCCACAAACTTCCTATCCTATCCTCCTGCTCCCCCTTCCCCTCTGTCTCTATGAGGGTGTTCCTAGACCCACTCACCCACTCCCACTTCTTCCCTTTAGCAACCCCCTTTGCTAGGTCATCAAGCATCCCCTCCCCTCTTATTGATGTCAGATAAAGCCATCCTCTGCTTCATATGCATCTGGATTCCTGGCTCCCTCCATGTATACAATTTAGTTAGTAGTTTATTCACTAAGAGTGATGAATTGTCCAGTTAGTTGATATTGCTCTTCATATATGGTTGCAATAACCTTCAGTTACTACAGTCCTACTACTAGCTCTTCCTTTAGGTCTGTGGGCTCAGTGTAACTGTTGGCTTTGAGTATGTGTGCCTGTATTGGTCAGATGCTGGTAGAAACTCTCAGAAATCAGCCATATCAGGCTTCTGTCAGCAACCGCTTCTTGGTGTCAATAGTATGGGGGTTTGGTGTCTTCAGACAGGTGGATCCCTAGGTGGGATAGTCTCCAGATGTCCTTTCCTTCAGTCTCTTTCATTTATTTGTCTCTGTCTTTTCCTTAGGATAGAAGTATTTCTGGGTTAAAATTTTTGAGCTGAGTGTGCAGCCCCATCCCTCAACTGGGGGCCCTGCCTATCTATTGGAGGTGGTCTCTACAGGTTGTATCTCCACTTTCTTGAGGATTTCTGTTGAAGTCATCCCCATTGTGTCCTGGGAGCCTCTTGCTTCCCTGGACTCTGGGACTATCTAGTGGCTACCCCAGTTCCCCATCCTCCAATGCTACACGCTTCTATTCAATTTTCTGATCCTCTGTACTTCTCTCCTGTCCCTTCCAATATCTGATTCTGGCCCCCTTATCCTTTTCCTCCTCTTCCTCTCAGGTCCCTTCTTTCCTCTACTTCCTTTATTTTGTTCCCAGTTCTATGTAGGACTGAAGCATATACATTTTGATCTTCCTTCTTCTTAAGCTCCATATGGTTTGTGGGTTGTATCGTGGGCATTCTGAGAAACTTTTGACTAATTTGCACTTATCAGTGTGTGTTCTCTTGTGTCTGGTTACCTAACTCAGGATGCTAGTTTCTAGTTCCATTCATTTGCATAAGAATTTCATAAAGTCATTGTTTTTAATAGCCAAGTAGTACTCAATTGTGTAAATGTACTCCTTAGCAAAGAAAAAGACTTTCTGAATGAAACTCTTTAGCATAGAAACTAACATCATGAATTCATGAATGGGAGCAATCTCATGAGACTATAATGCAAAGTACACTATCTTTTTGGACAAAGGGCCAAACTACAAAAGGGAAAATATGGTTTTTTTATTGGTTATTTTATTTATTTACATTTCAAATGTTTCCCCTCCGCACACTCCCTATCCCCTCCCCATTCTCCCGTGCCTCTGTGAGGGTGCTCCCTCACATGCCTACCCACTCTGGTCTCAGCACCCTAGCTGGGTCATCAAGTTTCCACAGGACGAAGGGGATCACCTCCCAGTTATGACAGAAAACACAGTCCTCTGCTACATATCCAGGTGGAGACATGGGTTCCCTCCCACCCACCCGGGTTCCCTCCCACCCACTTGAGTTCCCTCCCAGGCACCCCTCCACCCTGTGTACTCTTTCATTGGTAGTTTACTCCCTGGGAACTTTGGGGGAATCTGCTTGGTTGATATTGTTGTTCTTCCTATGGGATTGCAAATCCCTTTAGCTCCGAAAGTTCTTCCCCTATCTCCTCCATTGGGGTCTCTATGCTCAGTCCAATGGGTGGCTGCAATAATCCGCATCTGTATTGGTCAAGATCCAGCAGAACCTCTCAGAAGTAGGCTTTATTAGACTCCTGTCACCACTTCTTGGCATCAGCAATAGTGTCTGGTTTGGTGGTTAAATACAGAATGGATCCACAGTTGGGGCAGTCTCTAGATGGCCTTTCCTTCAATCTGTGCTACACTTTTTGTCCCTGCATTTCTTTAGACAGGAGCAATTCTGGCTTAAAATTTTGGAAATGGGTGGTGGCCCCATCCCTCTATCAGGGGCTATGCCTAACCTCTGGATATGGTCTCTTTGTGTTCTCTCTCTCCTTTGTTGAGTATTTCAGCTAGTGTCATCCCCATTGGGTCCTGAGTGCTTCTTGTTTTCCTAGCTTCTGGGATTTTTTGGTGGCTACCCCCCAGTTCCCCATCCCCCATTGCTACACACCTCTGTTCAATTTCTTGACCCTTTGTACTTCTCTGTCACCTCTCATACCTGTTCCTGTCCCCCCTTTTCATTCCCTCCTTTTCCTCTCTTTCTTCCAAGTCTCTCTCATCCTCTGTCTTCCTTGATTATTTTGTTCTAAAGCATCCCTATTTTGGTCTTCCTTCTTCTCAACCATTCAAGATTCCTTAGTTGAGATTTTTTGTTTAGCTATGTACCCATTTTTAATAGGGTTATTTGGTTCTCTCAAGTCTAACTTCTTGAGTTCTTTGTATATTTTGTATATTAGCCCTCTCTCAGATGGAGGTTTGATAAAGATCTTTCCCCAATTGGTGGGTTGCTATTTTGTCCTATAGACAGTGTCCTTTGCCTTACAGAAGCTTTTCCGTTTTCTGAGGTCCCACTTGTCAATTGTTGATCTTAGAGCATAAGTTGTTGGTGTTCTGTTCAGGAAAATTTCTCCTGTGTCAATGCGTTGGAGGTTATTTTCTACTTTCTCTTCTATTAGATTGAGCATATCTGGTTTTATGAGGAGGTTTTTGACCCACTTGAATATGAGCTTTGCACAAGAAGCTAAGAATGGATTGATTTGAATTCTTCTACATGCTGACCTCCAGTTGAATCAGCACCATTTGTTGAAAATGCTGTCTTTTTTCCCACTGGATGGTTTTGTTTTCTTTGTCAAAGATCAAGTGACCTTAGGTGTGTGGGTTCATTTCTGGGTCTTCAAAATGTCACTCATCACAATAGTCACAATTAATACAAAATATCTTGATACAACTCTTATCAAGCAAGTGAAAGATCTCTATGACAAGTACTTCAAGTCTCTGAAGAAAGAAATCATAGATAACCTAAGAATATGGAATGATCTCCCATGTTCATTGATCTACAGGATTGATATAGTAGAAATGGCCATCTTACCAAAAGCAATGCACAGATTCAATGCTATTGCCATCAAAATTCTAATTCAATTCTTCACACAGTTAGAAAAAGCAATTTTGAAATTCATCTGGAAGAAAAATATCTCAGTAGAGTGAAAACCATTCTCAACGATAAAAGAACTTCTAGGGGAATCACCATCCCTAACCTAAACCTGTACTATAGAGACATAGTGATAAAAAACAGCATTGTATTGGTACAGAGACAGACAGAACAATGGTTAAATATCATTTTTAAGAACATAAACTTATTTTATATTTATTTTGATAATGTTTGTAGTGATATACTAAAGGTAATAGAATTAAATTATGTTTATATTGAAAATAAATACATTTGTGACACTTTAATATATAGATTAAATAAGATAAAATTTAGTTAATAATTAAATTATATGAGTATGTAATACTTGATTAGATAAAAAGCGTTACCACCCAGTTGTACTGTCAGTCAGTAGTTAGATGGATCTCTGACATTGTTTCGGGTACAATTAATATTCATAATCATTACATATTGAGTAAAATACATGACTTTTGTCATAAAAACAGTCTTGACTCCAACAATGTAGAGTCCTACCTAACAGGGCAGACTCACTGCTCCCAAAGAAGCAACTGTATTTCAGGGCAAGCATCAACTATAACAATATCATCAACTCATGAACTTCTCACAAGCTTCTTGTCACATAAATTTGAAACTCGTTATAATAAATTCCAGAAATCATATACAAATTTTTCTCTCCCCACTTTTCACCTGTTCCTATTTCTTCCTTTCTTTCCATACCCATCTTCTCTCTGCAAAGTAATTGATAATATCATGAAGAAATTATAGATATCACAGATAGTTCACTTGTATTTTATATGACCAAGGATGATTGCTAATCTTTTTTGTACTGTGTTCATTTTTAAGCTATTGAATTTTCTGGAGTAACATTGGGATACATTCTGGGTTTTCTAGTAGGAACACGAATTGTCTTGCCTGTAAAAGAAGCTATGAAAGCAGTGTAAGTAATACTAATTACTATTCTATTCAGTTTGTGTTGTACAGAGTACTGGTTGAATAATATATAGCAAATGCAGTCAACTGTGGGTGATGTACTCATACATATATGTAAGCAAAAGTACAATTATATTGTGCATTTGTATTTTTACTGTTTGAAATATAATGAATATGATTACTTAAAAGTTCATTAGTTTTTTGTTTTGTTGTTAAAGACATGAAATAATCATTCAATACACTACAACAATAATTGTGTATTATACACAGAAGGTTTCATCTTGGTTATTATTTAAAGATTTATTCATACAATATATTCTGTTCATATTTCTTTTGCAAAAACCTCTTCCCAGCTACCTCCCTACCTACGTGATGTTATTTACCTAGGGATGATATGCTTTCTACATGTTACATGTCACTACATGTAACAACAATACTCCAGAGTAGATTCCATGGCAAGTTGTTACCCAATACAAAATGAACTCAATGGGTATTTCTATGAAGTTTTTTATTAATTTTCTATTCTTTTTCATTTATTACTTTGCCTTATTGGTCTTTTGCTTGTTTGTTTTTATTTTCATTTTTGTATGAGTGTTGTTTCATTTTTGTTCTGTTTTTTGAATGAATGTAAAAGGGCATAACATGTATTGTATGGAAACTTATTACTGCACAGCTTTAGAGGCTTAGAAATAAATACATGTATGAAAAGAATTCAAATAGATTCATCAAATAATTGTGGAGACAATGTTCCAATTAAATGTCTTATGCCATCACATCCCAGTAATGAATAAAATCTAGTGTGTTTCCATGTGGGATTTTAAAAGGGTTTTAGTGTTATATTATGCCCCCTATATTTCTTCCCTTATCTGTCCCAACATCTTTTTTATTCTTTATCCTGCTCATTCTAGATTCTTTCTTAAATGTCAATAACATTGTGTTGTATTTCCCCCTTCTTTGGGAGATTGTATTCTTGCTGACACCTTAGTGGTACCATTCTTCTGGGGTTATTCATATTATAGAACACAGAATCAATAAATATGTATGAACAAGTATTACAGTAGAGTCTTTTTGGTATTTGTCAAATAGTAGTATAATTGGATTGATGTATATTGACACTCAACTTCCTGATGAAATCTTTACCTTAATTTTTATAATGATTATACTAGTATGCACTCTAATCAGCATGTGCTGTCATTTGTTTTATTGATCTTGATAGTTGTGACTGGTATGAAATGAAATTTCAAAGTCGTGCTAACTTGCATTTCCCTGATGGACAAAGTTGTTGAGCACTTCTTTTAAATGTTACTCAACCTTTTGTATTTTATCTTTTGATACTCTCTGCTGAGTTCCCAACACCATCTTAAATTGGGTTATTTTCTGATGCTCAGTGTTTTAGTTCCATATAAACTATAATTACTAACATTTTATTGGACATATACTTTCTTTTTAACTGTTTTTTTTTTTTTTTTGGCTACAGCTCTGCTTGAATGATATGTTGCTTGCTTTGCCTTGTTTTCAGTTTCATGAGATCCCATTAATTAATTTTTGGACTTAGTGTCTTTCTACTGGAGTCTTGTCAGAAAGTTCTCTCTTGTGTCAGTGAGTTCAAGCCTATTTCTCACTCTCTCCTCTCTGAGGATCAGCATATCTAGTTTAATGTGGGGGTCAGTGATCCACTTGGAGTTGAGTTTTATGCAGAGAGTTAGTTATAGATCTATTGGCATTTTTATACTTGCAGCTATCCACTTTTACCACCATCATTTTTGAAGGTAATCTTTTCTATGTTTTTTTTTTTTGCTTATTAGTAAAAACTTCAGTGTCCATACATATAGAATTATGTCTAGGTTTTCAGGTCAATTCTATTGATCAATGTGTCTATTTTTGTGATAATACCATGCTGGTTTTATTATGTTACTTTCTTGTAAAAGTAGAATTCAGAGATGGTAATACTTTTAGCAATTCATTCACCATTCAGGATTGTTTGTTTGTGTCTTTATAAAACTGAATTTCTATCTATTTGCAAAGAATGGTGTTGAAAATTTGATGAGTTTTGTTAAATCTTCATTTTAGTAATCTAATATTATTATTATGTCCATTTTCTCCATATTAGTCCGTTTGATCCCATCTTCTGTTCTTCCTAATCTATTAAGTTTTTTTTTTTACATAGTTTTTCACTCAAGGTACTTTTGAGGCTATTGTGAAATATGTTGTTTGATTTCTTTCTTTCTTAGCCTATTTGTCATTTGTATATGGGAAGGCTCCTGAATTTTCTGTGTTGGTTTTGTTTCCTACTATTCTGCTGAAAGTGTTTATTAGTTGTAGACATTTCCTCATAGAGTGTTTGGGGTCTTTTATTCATAAAACCATAACATATGCAAACAAAGATTTTTTGTTAGTCTTCCTTTTGTATTTCTATCACCTTGATCTCCTTCAGTTGTGTTACTGCTCTAGGTGTAACAGTCCGTTCTGCTACTTTGTAATGGCCCGTTATGCTGCTCTGGTAGGCCGGTCAGGGTCTAGCAAGAGAATGAGTGGGGACGGAGGAGGGGCAAGAGAAGCAAAAGATGGATATAAGACAGAGTCTGGTCAAATCTCTTCTTTATTCTCTCTTATAGAAAGGAAATCCTGGGTATTTATACTCTTTACCGCGTGACTTGCCCTCATGGACAAGCTCAACTGAAGGCACTGCATCACATGCATTGTAGCCATGGATACCACGTGCACCTTGCAGTTGGGGGCACTAAACAGTGTAACAGGATGTTTATCAGAGTGTGCTCAGCTGTTGTGGGCTGTTGAAAACAGGTCTCTTCTCAGGATTTATGGCTGGAGATGGCTGTAATGATGATAGCCGCTTTTTGCTAAGAGTCGGCTCCCAACACTAGGTTGGACATTAAGTACTAAAATGAGTAAATATGGAAAGAGTCCTTTGTTCTTGGATGTAATTTTAGCAGCAATTTCTTGAATTTATTTCCATTTAGTTGATGTTGAATGTGAACTTGACGTAAATAACCTGTGTTATATTGAAGTGGGTCCATTTTATCTCTAGAATAGCCAGAACTTTTATCATAAAGAGATGTTGCATATGTCAAAATCCTCTTCTGTATCTAATATAGTGATCATATGATGTTTGTCTATTCAGTCTGTTTATATGGTTAAATATATTTATTGAATTAAGTGTGTGGAATATCTGCAACTCTGGGACTAGTCCTACTTGATAATGGCAGATGATCTTTTGGATATGCTCCTATATTCAGTTTGCAAGTATTTTATTGAGAATGTTTACATCTGTTTATCCATTGATTGCTGAAAAACCTACATTACCTTAAAAATAGAACCTTGACGAAAATGAATCTAGCTCATAAACAGTAAAAGTGACTACAATATCAGAGAAATAAACATCTTGATTAGAAGGAAGACCAAAATGTGGGTGCTTCTGTCCTTCTTAGAAAGGGGGGCAAAATACTCATAGGATCAAACACATAACTAAGTGTGGAGTAGACACTGAAGGAAAGGCCATCCAGAGACTGTCCCACTTGGGAATATACAGACACCAAACCCAGACACTATTGCAGATGCCAAGAAGAGCTTGCTTGCTGATATAGCTGTCTCCTGAGAGGCTCTGCCAGAGCCTGACAAATACAGAACCAACCACTGGACTGAGCACAGGTTCACCAATAGAGGAATTAGAGAAAGGACTGAAGGATCTGAAGGGGTCTGCGATCACATAAGAAGAATAATAGTATCAACTAACGAGACTCTCCAGAGCTCCCAGATACTAAACCACCAGCCAAGGAGTCCACATGGAGGAAACCATGGTTCCATCTGCATATGTAACAGGAGAGGCCATTGGTACGGTGAAGGCTCTGTGCCCCAGTGTAGGGGAATGCCATGGCGAGGAAGCTGGAGTGGGTGGGTAGGTGGGGAAATACCCTCCTAGAAGCATGGGATGGGGAAGGGGATAGGGGTTTTAAGGGCATGGAAGTGAGGTCATAACATTTAAAAATGTAACAACGAAATGTAAATAAAGAAAATATCCAATAAAAAAAAGAAAAAAGAAATGATAAAAAATAAAGGTTTTTAGTATTTAAAATGCCATTTGAATAATTACATAGATGATTTCATTATTTTCTTAATATAATTACTTTTAAAGTTTGTCATAATGTCCTTATTTCATGTAAAATCAATGTAACAAATTTTAAATTTTATTTAAAATTAGACATTTAATTGAAAAACTCTAAAAAATAATGTCAAATTATCTGTGATGGCTAAATAATAAATTTAATGTAAAATTTAATAAAAATTAATAAAATTTAATATAAGATTTAATAAATTTTAATAAAAATTAATAAATTTAATAGTAAATATAAATGGTTTTATAGTAAAGAAGTAAATTTTTTTCACATGAAATGAAGAATTTCTGGAAAGCAAATGACAATGATATTAAATTGATTAGATCAGGGCCAGCAAGATATCTTGTTATACAGAGGTGCTAGACACAAATGCTGAAGACCTTTCTTTAGAAGCCAGCCAGGTCCTACCTGAAAGAAAGTACAAACTTCTGCAATTTGCCCTCTGACCTCCTCATATATCATATGGATACACGTACGCAAAATTGTAAAAATAAAATCTGATATGCACTTCATAAAGAAACCAAGTTGGAATAAATGACTACAATATTAATATCTGAATGTTACAATGAGCAAAATATTCATTGAAATCAGTTAGAAATCAAAATTATATAAGATAATCTACCCATATAACAACCAATATGAATAGATTCTTGGATAAAATATTTGTACACATAATTTATGCTCTGACATCCACACATATCCTAGCACACATTCAATGTGCATAGGTGTCTTTTATATTGAAATATATACATATCTACTTACATATTCTGTTAGTCAGTGCTGTCTAGATTAACAGAATATATAGGATGAATCTCTAACTTTTTATATCTATATCCATAATATATCTATGTTATACATTTATATATACATACATATT